TCAGGCTTAGATTCCACAGCCAGAAGGATTGGGGATGGGGAGAGAGGGAGGGAGTGTTTAGCAGAGAGACAGAAAAAAGCCTGAACATAGGGTAACTCCTTCCATCTTCCAGTTTGCTGACAGAAGTTAGATAAATCCCTCAAAACTTCAGGGACTAGAGTCCCGTTTGGGAGCCAGTGAGACTGGTTCTCTAAGGAATACCTAGGCCATTTTTTTCATACTGAGATAAATGAGTCTGGATGCCTTAATGAATGGCATTAATATGTAGGAATTTTAAATTTTCTAGAAGACATCCCAGTGGAGTGGATGGGCTTATCTCCTTTGTTGGTTTATTTTCCATGGGTGAAACAAGTCAAAAAACTGGCAAAAGCCCCTCTCCGAATGCTGGTCAGCTTGTGTGGGTGCCAGGGGGGCCAGCAGGATAGACCCAGGGTCTGAATAAGGACTCTGCTGTGGCGAAAAGAAAAAAGAAAAAGAACCCAGCAGTACCACAGCAGCTAGCCACCAAGGGAGCAAATAGCTACTGATGAGACCACCCGTAGGAAATAAACCGGGAGCGATTGTCAGCGAATGGGGTCGACTGTGACGGTGAAGATCGTGGTCAGGTGCTCCCCCACCTCCAAGAACACCAGAAGGGTGCCGGATGCTCAACGGTCAATCCTTCGGGTTCAGGGAGATGTTTACAGTGACTGAGAGAGGGTAGCCTTACTGAATAGGTGCCGGTGTTGTATGCAGAGTCCCAGCAAACCGGTGAGATGGAGTGTGAGTTGTTGATCCATGTGTTAGGGCGGCTGGGAAAAGGTCATGGGGAGAGCCTATCCACATTCTGGGCGCCAATTGTTACGATTCTGCTGCAGCTATTGGTGAAGAAATAGGAAACTACGAATGAACAACTCACATGGAGCTTTATTGACAAGAAATGGGGGGGAGATGAGGTTGGATCTGTAAGACCCCCGGAAGCTCAGGCCTCCAGGATCTCAGCCCAGGACTGAGGTCACCCCAATCACCATGCGGAGGCAGAAACTTGATGCAAACTGCACGAGGCTTTATTGTTGTTTAACGAGCTAACCCCATGTTAGCTCAGGCCTTTCATCCATCCACCATGGTGGATGGCTAAGAAAGACAGCTCGAACCATCTGCATAGAGATCTTATAGGGCAGCGTAACGGGAGTGTCTAGGGGTACGCACAGGCTCAGTATTGGTGTGCCTCCAGGCTTGGAGGGTTTGCCCTGTGTTGATTGGCAACTGGTTGTTATGGCCCATAGGCCCTCCCAGGGTAGTTGCTATGCTCAGTACGTCATTGCTGTGTGCTTGTCCATAAAGCACACCCAGAGTCGTAAAGCATAGCGCCACCAGCTAACTTCTGATTGGTTCCTTGCCACAAGGCAGGCATCTGATCTCCTAGTGACCAAGGCAAGGTCATGACAAGCACATGTTGGCTGTTATGGCTGCCGAAATGGGGAGCTGGTCCCTTCAGATTGTCAGTCAACCCCAGGAGAGGCAGAGGGCGGGGGGAAGCTGAACCTTTTAAAGGGAAGACCGTGCATGCACACTGAGGTTTCACGCGTGCACAGAGTCCTCACGCAGGCTGTAATGCATGGCAGGTGATGTGGTGATGATGTAGCACGTTCCATGTGCATGCCCACCCGTGGTTAGGGGGCAGGGTCAGCCCGGTGTCCATCCTAACATCTAGAGCAGTGGCCAAGAGGCCAAGAGGCAAAAAGATCAAAGGGCCAGCGTAACTAAAATGGCTGGATTATATAGGGAAGAACAGAGAGGGAGGAGAGGAGGGGGGGCCCCCCCCCGGGGGTGGGGGGTCTTGGGGGGGGGGGGGGTGGAGTATCCCAGCCATACCCTGTGCTAGGTACTGGCTGAGGGATGCTGGGAGAACCTGGTATCTAGAGTCCGCTTTGATATGCCTACAGGAATCTCAGTTAACCATTCATTAGTTTGTCTTGGGTTTGAGACTTAACACAAAGCAAGACCAAACCCAAGCAGGGAAAAGGCCAAATCACAGCTCTGCCTTTGATATCAGTGGGTTAAGAAGGCTCTACACTTGCAACTTTGTTGCCTGCAAAAATACATTTCCTTTTTCTTGGTGTGATTCCACTAGTTATGTGTAGCTCTCTTTGGCAGCTATCCCATGCCAGGCACATGTCTGATGTCTTGGGGTCTCCAATTCAACTCGGGCTTCACTTCCACAGCCTCACACAGTGACCTCTCAGGGCCTCTTGCCCACTTAGGGCCGTCATGAAGACACTGTCCTGCCATGTGTAGCCTGGCCTTGCTTGTGCTCTGAAACTGCATCAGATTCCATGACCCCTTTAATCTTGACTCCTGGCCACATGGGCAACATTGCCAAGTTGGGCTGCCAACCTGGGATGGAGCCTGGGCCCTTGAATCACATCTGCAACAGCTTTTGTTTGTTGTTTCTAGGAGCATAGAATTCCTTAGGCTCTGTCAGTTTCAGGAGTGGGAGGGGTCCTGCCCTCAGGCGCCCTTCCCTTTTAAAGAAGAATGGGGCTCTGCTTATTCTAATCTCTTCAGCACAAATCTTGGCTGCAACATTAAGTTTTTAAAGTTTTAATTTCATTTCTTTAAAAGATATATTTTTATAAAATTTAATTTTCAGGTGTGTGTGTGTGTGTGTGTGTGTGTGTGTGTATCCATGCCCGAATATGTGGATGTGGACAAGGAAGCCAAAGGTGTTGAATCCCCTGGAGCTAGTTTTATAAACAGTTGTCAGCTGCCTGATATGGGTGCTGGAAACTGAACACTGGTCCTCTGTAAGAACAACAAATGCTCTTAACCATGAGCCAACTCTTTTTAGTTTCCAAAGGTAATTTTGTATTTCCATCCCCCCTTGTCCTTTTTATTGTAGTCCTGTCTAAGGATGAATACCAAAAACTACATAACAGAGTCAATATTATATATTCTTCTCCAATAAAGAAATCAGTCAATTAAAAAAAATTCACCTCAGGCAAGTTCTTAGGAGCCACATTTATGTTTTTGTCAAGATGTCACAGGAATAGTCTCTAGCCTATTACTAACATAGCTGTCTCTGAATCCCTTTGAGCTGGGCCTACACAGTCTACATTGCTCTCAGCACTGTTTTCCAAGCTTCTACTAGGATGGCCCATGAAGCTCTGCTTAGAAGCAGCTCAAGCACTTTTCGAGTACAAAGTTTTTCAGAGCCTCCCACTTTCCTCAAAAGGACAGCATGGTCAGGTCTCTTGCAGAAACATCCCACCCCTGGTACCAATCTCCATGGTAGATTGAGTGTCTATTGCCATGACAAAACACCATAACCAAAAGCACTTTAGAGAAAAGGATTTATTTCACTTTCACCTTTCAGATCCTGCATTATCACAGAGGGAAGCCAGGGCAGGAACCTGGAGCAGAATCTAAAGCAGAGAGAAGCTATGGAGGGATGGCTGTTGAGCTGCTTGTACTCCATGACTTGCTCCTCCTGGTGTCTTATACAACCCAGGGCCACCTGCACCGGGTGGCCTGGGCCCTCCTGTATCAGTCATTAGTAAAGACAATACCCCACAGGCTTCCCTACAGGCTAAGGCATTATTTCACTTAAGAGTTCCTCTTCACAGATGTGTACGAGTTTGTGTCAACTTGATATAACTCAAACAGCACATTAGCAGCACTTATTTTTTTTTTCTTTTGGGTGTGTGGTAGAAATAATGAAGCAGATTTTACTGAGTACTGAGAATTTTCTTCTACAGAAGACAGAGATGGCAAGATTTATGTTGAGCTGGCACTCCTAAGGAAAGAACTGATAGGAAGCCAAATTATGTGCTAAGGAGTTTCTGGAAGGCTTTAAAGCCTGAGGAGCAGTTGACAGAAGACACCCGTGACAGAAGAGTACAAGTGAAGGTTATCAAGCCTGTCTCAGGGGTGGGAAATTATACCCGTAGACTAAGGGGTGCACATCTCCCTCCAGCAAAAGGCTATGCTAGAGGTGGCCCTGGTTTGCCCAGTCAGGAACTCCCCCCAACATCCAGGTCTGGTGGATGGGGAGGCAACAGCTACAGCTGTATCCACAGTGCCAACTCAGGGCCAGTCTGACGAAGGGAGTCTGAGCAGATTAAGTCACACCCACTGAGTCTATCAGGTTTGGAGAAATGCAGGGAAGCTCCTAGAAGAGCTCCAGGGTATGTAAATGTAATGCCTCAGAGAGAAGAGTTGAGGATTTCAGAAAACTACGTTAGAGCCTCCTTCCTCTTCATGCCTTCTTCCCAACCTTGATCTGTGGAGAAAGTAATTGGTACAAATGGATGGAACCTTTCCATGCTGTTAGATGCTGCTTATGGTCTACTTTAATTGTGAACCTCTGGTCACCCAACACTTGCTCAGAACAGATGACAAAGGACTTTGATGGTACTTCACCAAGGTTATCTTTGTGACCCCACTATTTGTTATGGGATGTCTTGTCTATCCTCTGGATAGTGAATAATGCCAAGGGTGGACTGCTTCCCTGTGAGTTGTCGGCCTTAGAAGTGCCCGAGGTCCCACAAACCAAAAGTCTATTGCTACTATTGGTTGCATTCTAGAACTAGGTGGTAAAACCCTATGGCTGAAGATACCACATGCTTTGACTTTAGAAATGGAGAAATTAAGCTAAGATTGAACTGGAAACTCCCACCCTGCTGACTGGCTTTCACAGTGCCAGAAGAGGCCACGAAGACTAAAAGTCAAAGGTTAGGAAAAGATTTTCCTAACCTAAATAGAAACCGAAAGTGAGAGGGAGTAGTTATATCAGACAGAGAACTATGCAAAGAGACAAAGAAGGAGGTTATGTAATGTAAGCAAAAGGAAATAACAATTACAATTTTTTAAAGTAACAAATGTACTTTTAATTGATTTCAGGTAAAAACTACAAGGAGAAGAGCCTAATTTATCAGAGCCAGTACCATCTACATTAGAAAAAAAACAAGACATTATGTCCTCACGGCTCACATGTGTGGCTGGCCATCAAATCTGCTCTTTTATATCCCATGTTTCTTTTTTAGCTCTTCCCCCTTTTCCATATAGGTTTTCAGGGCACTATTCCATGAAGCCCATTTGGCCTTGCCTTTGAGATCCAGCAGCCCGGGCAGATCTGTGTTTACGTTGCCCACAGTGGCTCGTTTGAAGAGGCTGTGAATGAACAGCATCTCTTTATCACTTGGCTGAGTCTTGAGGCCCTTCACCTCCTCAGGAGCTTTGTCAGATTCAGCCTTCACAGGCTAGCAGGCCACAGTACCTCAGACATACTAACAATTATTATTTATAAGGCAAAATGCTGATGGACCTAAAGACAGAGAAACTTCAATACAATAAAAGTTTGAGAGTTCAACATAACTCTGAAGTCTCTAAGACCTATGGGACATCATCAAGGAAATGCCTAATTCTGGAGCTGGAGAGATGGCTCAGCAGTTAAGAGCACTGGCTGCTCTTCCAGAGGACCTGGGTTCAATTCCCAGCACCAACATGACAGCTCACAACTGTCTGTAATTCTAGTTCCAGAGGATCGAACACCCTCATACAGACATACAAGCAGGCAAAACACCAATGCACCTAAAATAAATAAGAATTAAAAAAAAAAAGAAATGGCTAATTCTGATTCTGTTGCAGAAAAGAATAGGATAAGATTGTGACATGTTTTGCTGTCAACAACAAAGATGGGTCAAAAAGCCAGGCCTTGGTGGCACACGCCTTTAATCCCAGAACTCGGAAGGCAGAGGCAGGAGGAGCTCTGTGAGTTCGAGGCCAGCCTAGTCTACAGAGTGAGTGCCAGGATAGGCTCCAAAGCTACACAGAGAAACCCTGTCTTGAAAAACAAAAACAAACAAACAAACAAAAAAAAATGTGTCAAAAGAGTACAGAGGTCAGGCTGAAGGAACTTTTGCTGAGCACATCTGGGGACATTTTGAGTACTAAAATGCAAAGATACTAATAATTCATTACATAAATTATAATGTAGAAAATCAATGACTCATACTATCTAATAAAAAGTTAGGTGAGATAAAGCTATTTTTAATAAATCTGTTTTTTTTTTCCCAAAGAGAGAGGAATTAAGTGAGGACTCTGGAAGACGCCAACTTAACCAGGTGACCAATGTAAACCTACGACTAAAGGTACAAACTGAAACCATGTCCCTGAAGGAGCTGTGGGGAGTCAGTGTCACCTCCACTCTCTTCCTTTGGATCACGTGTGGCATGTGTCTAAATAGCCATATATCCAAGGGGATTTCCGGGGCGATAACGTGTGAATATATAACATCAGAATTTGTACAAGGTTGTTAAAGCTGTGGTGAGAGGGGAATTTTACAATACGTTTAAGTCAATATTCTGAGCTCTCATATTGAGAGGTGGGAGAGGAAGGGCAGAATAAATAGAATAAAGGAAATTGTGCAGATAAGATGAGAACAGAAATCCATAAAATTATACATCAAAACATGGTAGAACTGATGAAACAAAGGGTTGGTTCTAGGCAAGGACCGATGTTGTTAAGGAAAGTTGACATACCTTAAAGAGGAAGAAAAAAAGGAGATATGATGGCTATCCCTACTAACCCTATAAATACTGAAAAGATAACACGGGATTCCCAGAAACTACTCTACTCACATAAATGTGACAACTTAGATCAAATGGACAAATATTTCAAAATACAAACCATTTTAATTTGCTCCATATGAAATAGATAAATGAACAGTGCTGCACTGTGACAGAAATTAAATCTACAAATCTACAATTTAAAAACTCCACCCCCAATTTTAACAGCCCCTTAAATGGTTAAAACTGATTTCTACGACCTCTTCTAGGAAATGGAAGAGGAGAGAACTCTCCCTACGTTTTCAATGCAATTGATGTTGGCCCGATACCAAAACAAAAAAATTTAACAAAACGAAAATGATGTCTTCATCCACATAAATGCAAAAGTCCTTAGAAATATTAAATATAACCCAGAACACAAAAATAACTGTAGGGGAACTTGTAGCCACACCTGCTTAGGGGCTGGCTACAGGTCTGCCTGACCATGCCCTTGCAGGCCTGGTCAGGGTGATGTAAAGTGAGAGGTTCAGGGGCTGGGTTTCACTTTCGTTTTTCCTTTTCAGCTTGCTGTACAGACTGCTGCTGCACCGGCTGGCTGGGTCACTCTGTAAGTAAGGCTTTTCCCTATTATTTTCCCTTATATTTCTACTTGGCTCCGTATTGGTAATTTCCCATTTTAAATAACTACATAATGTAACAAGCATATCTTATTCTACACAGGTTCAGCATTCAAAATCCAACTAATAACCATCCACTATAGTAACAGGCCAAAGAAGATATGATCATATTAATTGATGCATAAAAACATATGAGGTGCTGAGGAGGTGGTGCAGTTTGAGTACAAGCAGGAGGACCTGAGTGTGGATCCCTGGCAATGACACAATCACAGCACTGAGGAGGAAATGAGATGAAAGCTAATCTCTGGAACTCGCTATGCAACCAGCCTAGTTGAGTCATTGAACCAGGGAGAGAGAAAGATGTAAGATTTGAGATAGTGCAAGATCCTGTCTCAAAAAAAAAAAACAAAAAAAACAAAAAACAAACCAAAGGTAGACAGCGACTAAAGTATACACCCATAGATCTCTGGCATCCATGCACATGTACACACACGTGCATTTGCACATGAAAAACTATATATATATATATATATATATATATATATATATATTTACACAAAAGCATTTGACAAGATCAGTAGCCTTTTACTTATCACCTGTTCTCAGTCTTATTCAGCAGAGGGCTACAAGTAGCCAGTGTAATAAGCAAGAAAAGTAAATTAAAGAGCATGCCTACCATAATGTAAAAAAGAAAACCATCTTTTCATGATGTAATTTCATATGCAGAAAATCCCATGTGATATACAGAAATAAAACAAAAACTTCTAGAACTAGTAAGTGGATTCATTAAAGTCAAGGATGCAAGACAAACAAAAAGTCAATTTTATTTTTACATCGAATGAGCAAATGGTTCCCCCAAATTTTAATGCCATTCATATCTTTAGTACAGTGAAAAACATACACAGAGCTTGTACGGTAAAAACTACCAAACACAGATGGAAGTAATTGGAGATCTAAATAAGTAGAGACAAGGCATGCCAGTTGGAAGACTCAACATAGTAAATATGTTAATTTTCTTGCATTTAAAAAGTTTCTATCCACAGGTGCCTACTGAATCACCTTTGAGACCACCCCAGCAGGTCTGGAGAATCTTATTGCAGTCTGGGGAAGGGAGGAGTCTATGCTGCCCACTCTGCCTTGGATGGTATGCTGTTGGGCATTCGATTGGAGTAGAGGGGTTATACCTAGCGAGAGATTGTATCTTGGTCTGCATTTTTCTGTTGTTTTGGCTAAAGAGGGCTTTGGGGGTGGCTCCTGTCCTTGATCATTCGTGTTTCTGGCTTCTTCAGCTCGGTTCTAAACTGAGAGTAAGGTAAGAAGGTTGACCCTCATGTTACTCAACAGAATGCTACCCGTTACCGAAAGAAAAGTAAATAAGGGGGCTGAAGAGATGGCTCAGTGGTTAAGAGCACTGACTGCTCTTTCAGAGGTCCTGGATTCAATTCCCAGCACCCACATGGCAACTCACAATTGTCTGTAATTCTAGTTCCAGAGGACCTGACACCCTTGGCCTCTAGGTCCTTAGCCATTTTAATTTATTCTCTCAACCTTGCAATCTCTCTCTCTCTCTCTCTCTCTCTCTCTCTCTCTCTCTCTCGCTCTGTGTGTGTGTGTGTGTGTGTGTGTGTGTGTGTGTGTGTGTGTGTGTGTGTGTGTCTGTGTTTGTGTAAACAATGTCCAGGGCTTTAATCAGACACTGTGAACTTTGAAGAACTAGACACAAGAAGCTAGACAGACTCTTCATTGGATTAGGGTTATACCCTCTTGCCTCTTCTTCAGGGACTTAGCCTCAGTCATGGCTGCATGAACATGTTAAGGGCTGCAGAGTTGGTGAAATGCTGAAGTGAGGGCAAAGAGAGCTCTGAAGAGCTCATGAGAATGGGAGGGGAGCAGCTGACCCCAGTGTGAGAACAGAATCTCTCTCCTGAGGTGCATCGTCTGCCTCAGCTCAGGTCCAGTTCCCAGGCTGACTACTGACAAACAGTATCCAACCTCAGGCACAGGCCTGGGGATTTCTTTAAATGCATATGCCAGCTAAATGGTAAGGTATCAGAAATTTCCTGCCTTTCTTCCTGATACATTGTGTGACTCCAATAGCAGGTGCCACCTACCTGGGAGACAGTTTCACCAGGTGGAGCCTTCTCTTCAGCCCTGCCCCCATCAGGCTCCAAATCCTAGTTAACAGATGTTGCAAAGGTTATACTCCCCCCAACTTAGATTCTAATTTCATTTCAAATTTGTATTTGGATCATTTGTAGAGCAGAAAGAATGAGTCACTTGAGCTCACTGAGTCTGCCCTTCAGAGCCAATTTTAAATAATTTTAAACAACCCCCCTCCCCACACACCAGTGAACTCTTCAGGGACTTGTCTTGTGGAATTCCAGGCACAGTGACCTTAGCTATTCAGTGAGAGTAGGCACAGTTCTCACAATGATGACACAGGGTTGCTTTGAGTAAAAAAGGTGGAAGCTATCCTAAAATGCCCAAAGAGAGAGACCCTCAGACATAAATTGGTCAAGACTGTAGGCCTAAGCTGGGCATGATGAAAAGTGCCTGTAATCACAACACTTAGGAGACAGAGGCAGGAAGGTCATGAGTTTGAGGCCAGCTCAGAGCCTGTCTTATAAGAGATGCTGAGTGCTTTAGAGTGTGTACTGCTCTTCCAGGAGACCCAAGTTCAGTTCCGAGCATCCTCATCAGGATACACTCTGCCTATAACTCCACCTTTGGGAGATACAGGACCCTCTGCTGGCTTTCATGGGTACTTCACTTGTGCACACACACACACACACACACACACACACACACACACACACACACACACGGAGACACACATTATTACACGTAAATCAATCTAAAAACAAAACTCAAAGGCCTTGGGCTAAATCTTTGAAGAATGGTGTTGAACATCATACTGAACCCTGAACCCCAAAACATGCCCCAGCTGTCCTGGAGACCACCACCACCCTCACACACAGAAGAGGCTTGGGGTTCAGAGAAGCTATCCTCAGTTGCAGAGCCTGGGAAGGCCTGTCTTTCATTGCACAGCTCGCAGCTGGTCCGGCCCTTCTCCAGGGTCCAATTACTTGAAACCCCCCGGGGAGAGAAGAACCTCAGACACCCGAGGGAGTCAGGTGAAAATGAAGGATCTCAGGCCTAGATAATGAGACAGAGCTCTGAGAGGCAACTGAGAAGAGAGTGAACCACAGATGCCAAGACCCAGAAGGCTGAGTTCCGGCAGCAGCCACCGAAGCTGGCCCAGCAGAGGGAGGCAGTCCGAGGAGGGATCAGCACAGCTGCTTTTGAGGACAGTGGGATTTGAGGGCTGTGAGCCCAAACCCATGGCCTCCAGGCCTACCCTGCTCCTGTGGCCACCCCAGCTGCCCCTCTCCGCTCCCAAGCCATGCCTGCTTCTCCCAGGGAGTGGCCAGCCGGGGGGGAGAAGCCCTGGGCCTCAGCCTCAGGGGCTCAGCCTCAGGGGACAGAGGCAGCAGTCACAGCTGCTGTGCCTCCACTCAGCTCTGGCCTTCTTCAGGAGCTGCCTCTGGAGCACTGCCTCCCCCACAAACCCATGGGACCCGAGTGTCCTGCTGCTGCTCTGCTGAGGTGTGCTATCCTCCTGGCTCCCTGCCAAAGTCCCGTGCTGGCCCGCAGGGCCCTGTGGTTCAGGATATGGAATCCCTGTTTTCCCAGTTGGCCCTGCTGCAGTCAGACTCACTTAAGCTGGTCTCTGAATGGAAATATCTAGGCAGGAGCTGCTGAAGAGCAAACCCCAAGGTTGGTATTCCCTGGGGAGGGGGTGGGGGGTTACAATAGGCTCCTTCTTGTCTCTTTTGGCATTGGGCCTTAGTTCCAGGATCAGTTTCAGACATGAACGTTGCCAATCTGCCATTGGGAGCAACAGCCTAGGGTGGCCTCAGCTTGGCCAAGTTTGCTGATTAGCTGGATTTTCTTCCAGTCAGGCCTCTGTGCCAAAGGTGTCTCTATTTCAAGTGCATCTGGCTTGCTGTCACTGCAGACTGAGCAGATGTGACAGGAGGGGTTGGGAACATTGTCTGGGGCTCTGAATCCAACTGCCTCTAAGGCTGTATTTGACAGCTTAAAAATAGGCCTTGTGGTAGGCTAAAAAAACTGGCCTTCAGAAATCTATCCCTGTCAACTCCCTGGAATCTGTGAATGTGTTTAAGTTATGGGTCTTGTGAAGAAATGGAGTTTATCCTTGATTGTCTGAGTGTGACCTAAATATAGTCACATACTTTCTTATGTGAAGGAGGCAGAGGGAGGCCTGGGGAGATGACTTAGTGGGAAAGAACCTTGCTGCCCAAGCATGGAGACTGGAGTCCAAATACCTGGAAGCTACATAAAAATCCAGATGTGGTCACATATACCTGCAATCCCCAGTGCTGGGGAGTAGAAACAGGAGGATTGCTGGTTTGCTGGCTGCTAACCTAACTCCAGGTTCAGTGAGAGACCCCGTCTCAAGAGAATAAGGCAGTGTTGATAAAGTAGGGTCCTCAATATTCCAATGTCGTCCTCCAGCCTCTGTGCATATGTGGGCATGTGCACCCCCATAGATATGCACATATGTCACACACAGAGAGAGAGAGAGAGAGAGAGAGAGAGAGAGAGAGAGAGAGAGAGAGAGAGAGAGGAGAAGGAGGAGGAGGAGGCAGAGGGAGTCCTGAGAGAGACAAGGAAGAGAAGGTGATATGAAGATAGTTGCAGAACTGGAGAGCGTGACATCCAGTCAAAGAATGCTGGTGACCCCCAGAAGCCAGATATGGCAAGACAAGCTCTTCCCCTAGAGCTTTAGGTTCGTCAAGGCTCACAGACCCCTTATTTTCAGACTCTAGTCTACAGAACCATAACAACATCTTTCTGTTGCTTTAGTCACCAAGTGTGTGATTTGTCACGATGCTCACATAAATCAACATATTCCTTATGCTGTGTGAAGGGACCAGCTCCCCATTTCAGCAGCCATAACAGCCTAGCATGTGCTTTCCTAACCCTGCCTTGGTCACTAGGAGGTCAGATGCCTGCCTTGTGGCAAGGAACCAATCAGAAGTTAGCTGGGGGCGCTCTGCTTTATGGCTCTGGGTGTGCTTTACAGACAATCGCACAGCAATGGCCTGCAGAGCATAGCAACCCCCCTGGGAGGGCCTATGGGCCATAACAACCAGTTGGCCAATCAACACAGGGCAAGCCCTCCAAGCCTGGAGGCACACCAATCCTGAGCCTGTGCGTACCCCTAGACACTCCCCTTACGCCGCCCTATAAGATCTCTATGCCGTGGCTTTGCTGTGTCTTTCCTAGCCATCTGCCATGGTGGATGGATGAAAGGCCTGAGCTAACATGGGGTTAGCTCCTTAATCAACTGCAATAAAACCTCTTGCTGTTTGCATCAAGTTTCAGCCTCCGCCTGGTGATTGGGGTGTCCAAGGTCCTGGGACAAGATCCTGGGGGCCTGGGCCTCCGGAGGTCTTTCATGTGTAGTGTGGCAATATTCAGACAGCCAATAGTGGTGATTTATTATTATTTGTCTCCCTCTACAGGTGGGGTGTTCAATAATAAAAGGTCCAGCTGCCGGGACAATACTCAGCCATGATCAGGACTGCCCAGCTTCTGGCCTAGACGAAGGTAAGCCAAGGTAGGCAGACGAGACAAGCAGAAGGGGCAGCCTCATTTTACTGTTCACTTTTCTCCTACCAACTCCCTGCCAAATGGTGGATATGGTTACAAACCCTGTACAATGGTAAATTCCTTTAGCTTGCTTCTGGATGGTTGAGCCACCTGGCATGAGAATGAAGAGAAAAGGGGACGTTATGAGATCAAGAGTGACCACAGTCCAGGAGTTAAGAAACTGGTCACAGTTGAATCTTCAGGAAGAGACTTATGAAGAGGATGTAACAATTGTCCATTTTCTTGTTGGGGAGCCAGGAAAATTCCATTAGGGAATTTGCAGCGGTTCCAGTAACCTGGAGCATCTTCTGCATTGAATTGCAGATGCTAGCTGATTTGCTATTGAATAGCATGGCCTCAGTGGGGAATGTCCCCTAGTTTGCATTTCTACAGAACTAAATATTTGAATAGGCCTGCTCCAGCGCAGAGGGTCGGGTGTGTAAGTAACAAGTGAGGACAGAGAGAGTTAGGAGGGATCAAACAGAGGGGTCTAACAGAGAGAGAAATGGCCTCATGGTCAGGGAAGCATGGTTAGGAAACAGCCAGTGAAGGGACCAGCTCCCCTTTCGGCAGCCGTAACGGCTGAACACGTGCTCTATGGCCTTGTCCTAGACACTAGAAAGTCAGATGCCTGCCTCGTGACAAGGAACGAATCAGAAGTTAGCTGGTTGTACTCTGGGTGTTCTTTACAGACAAGCACACCGCAATGACGCAGAGCATAGCAACCGCCCGGGGAGGGCCTATGGGCCATAACAACCAGTTGGCCAATCAACACAGGGCAAACCCTCCAAGCCTGGAGGCACACCAATAGTGAGCCTGTGCGTACCCCTAGACACTCCCCTTACGCTGCCCTATAAGATCTCAGTCCTGTGGCTTCTCACAGGCTTTGCTTTCCATCTGCCATGGTGGGTGGGTGAAAGACCCGAGCTAACATGGGGTTAGCTTGTTAAATTACAATAAAGCCTCATGCAGTTTGCAGCAAGCTCTCGAATCCACCTGGTGATTGGGGCGACCACAGTCATGGCTTGGGACCCCGGATACCTGAGTTTCTCGAGGGTCTAACACCAGGAAGATGCTGAATAAACAAGAGACTCCAGTTTTGCAGCATGGAACTGAGAGCTCTCTAAAGACAAGATGCCTATGTCTGGTCTTTATCGCCATTGGGTTACTAGGAATTCCCAAGTCCACGCTCCCCCGCTCAGGCTGAATCTCATGGCTACTGTGGCTTGGGGCTGAGACATGCCAGGCCACAACATTTTCTGCCTGTCAAAAAGAACACACATGCCTGTAATCCCAGTACTCAGGAGGCAGAGGCAAGGAGATGCAACTGGGCTATGTAGTGAATTCAAAGCTAGCCTGAGCTACAATATTGAAACAAAACAAAGTAGGCACTTACAAGAACAACAGAAATAAATTAAGAGGTGTAAGTATAAATAATGTGCCTCATTTTATTGCTCCCATGTGGTCCCCAGAGAGCCCTGTCCTTGTATAGTGATAAAGAAAACCAGGAGGGTTAGGACGGAAAGGTTCAGGCTTTGACGCTGATCAGCTCTCCATCTTTAAGAGACAGACCCTGCCCCCTGACAACAGTCAGGACATGCGAAAGAAAACATGCTACGTCATCACAATGTCACCCGCCACGCATGAGGACTCTGGGCATGCATGGAACCTCAGTGCGCATGTGCAGTCTTCCCTTTAAAAGCTCCAACTTTACTGCTTCCTCTCTACTCCCTCTCTGCTTCCTCTCTTTACGCCGCTCTCTCTCTGCTCACTCCTTCTCTGCTCTTGTCTTCTCCCACCTACGCGCTCTCTCTGCCTCTCTATGGCGGCTGGCCGTGGCGGTCAGCCATTACCCCTGTTCCTCTTCTCTCTTAGTCTTCTTACTCTGCCGGGCCATATAATAAACTAGTTAACATGTCTCATCTTGCAGCTTTCTCTTTTCCTCTTTTTAAATAAAAACATAACAAGGACCACATTGCCCCTTGTCAGGCACGCTGCTCCTAGCTGATCTTACACATGTCTCTCGGTCCCAACCCTCATCTTTCTCTCTTCTATAGGCTTTCAAGCGCCTTCCTCATAGACAAATACAGATTTTCAAGATTTCATACACAAAGAAGTGTGGGTGCTGTGAGAAAGTTGGTCATTTCTACAGGGTCCATCCTCAAGCCCCTGCTCCTTACCCGTGTGAGCTATGCAAGGGGCCACCGCTTGCTGTGCTCATCCCTCAGAGCTCAACTCTTCAGAGGAGCAGAGATAACTCCAGGACTGCCAGTGATAGCCAGTGTCAGGTGGGAGGGCAAGTTGCAGAACTTCCTGGCTTAGCAGGTTCTCCTAGACATTAGCCACACCACCACCTGTATTCCTCAGTGTTTTCTAGAACAACACAACCAACAGCATGAAAGTCTATTTGAAGGGAAATTAATAAATTGACTTACATGATACAGCCAGAGTAGCCCAAATATGCTGCCTTACGCTACAAAGGCTGAGAACCCTCAGTCTTCAAGGCTGAGTACCTCCGCAGTCCCGATCCAGTACCAAAGGCCTGAAAGATTTCTGGAGAGTTGCTGAAGTCTTGGGAGTTCAAGGTCATCTCCCACAAAAAGTGAACAGAAATAAAACAGGTGGGGGGGGGTTGGTTGTTCAGCACTTTGCCAACTCCTCCTGTAAAATATTCCTCATATTCATAGCATTTAAACTTTTTGTTATAAAAGTTAATTTTGCTTAGATTTGTCAGACATATCTTCTCCCATCCTTGTCTTCCATATTTTTATTATTTCATGTATAGGGGTGTTTTGCCTACGCACATGTCTGTGCACCACATGTGTGCCTGGTACCCACATAGGCCAGAAGGGGCCATCAGATCCCCTGGGACTAGAGTTAGAGATGGTTGTGAGCTGCCCTGTGGGTGCTGGGAATCAAACTCCAGTCACCTGGAAGGTCAGCCAGTGCTCTTAACTGAGAAGACATTTCTCCAGCCCCTCTCCCTGATGTTTTTCAGCTTTTGGTGTTATCTTGTTTTGTTTTGACCTCTCAAAACATTATATAAATCTGTCTGGCGTGTTTAATTAAATCTACCAATCCCCTTCTTAATCACTACATTTTGCCTATTGCATACATGGCAATTATTAATCTCTTTGGGACTATTTCCGTCTTCAACCTTAGAACCAGATCTGGCCCATTACCAGCAGGCTGGGCTGGCAATCAGAACCCATGACTACAGTAGAATGAGCGCTGGGTTCCTCAGCCTGATAGAAGAAATGCCAATTTGCATAGCAGCTTTCACCTCCTCAGAGTCCCAGCGTCTCCTCGTCCCATACGGAATCATGTTCCTCCTCTTTCTGGGAACACAAACAACTGATGGAGACAAGATCAAGGCGTGAACTGTTCTGTTTCTTACTGGCCTTTTATGTCCTAGGCACCAGGTGTGTGGCAGCCTTACAACTATAGCTCTCTTAGCCTAGAGGATTCATAGTGATCAGGAACGGTAATTGTTCTATGGTGCACTGTTCTCCAAAAAGCACACACGGGCACATAACAGGAGAAAATCAAGGCCAACGACTGATTGATCTTTAGATTCAGATGATCCAGTGGTTCTCAGCTCAGACGACAGAGAGGCTCAATGACTATTCCTTATACTGTGGGATGCCTCACTGCTGGGAAGCCAGTTCTAGACAGCTGCTAAGAGGTATAGATTCTGCCTCAGTATGGGGGGGAGGCATTCAGAAAGCCCCATGTCCCCACCATGACCTGAGTGGAGATGGGAATTTGTCCTGAGAGCCTTCTAGCCTCTCCTTAGAGAGGCCAGGAAGATCCTTAGCATTCTGCCAAGGCACACATACACATTGCCACAGCAAAACCATTCTTTAGCAACTCCATCCCTGATTCTCACATATCCAGCTAAGAATTCTCAGGACCCTCTGCCGCTCCATCGGAGGACTCTAGTTAGTTGTACAGCTTGGGACTTGACAGGCCCATTTTGTATGCTTGGGGCAACATTGAGAGTTACTGTGATTCCTGTCTGAGAGCCTGCGAGCAAGTCAATAAATACACCAGTCCAGATGTGGCCAGAGATGTTGGTTACTGTATCCCTCCACCCCCCCAACACACACACACACACACACACACACACACACACACACACATCCCAGCCGGCAGAAAGCCCAGGGCAGTGCCATCTTGCACCTCACATGAGAAAGTTTAAGATAACGAGTAATCTGACAACCATACAAAGGGGTTAAACTAAACCATGGCAGAAGGAGGCTAAACAGAATCATATCAGCGTCCCCAAAGTTGCTCTTATCCTATCCTGTCAAATGCACCTGTTTTTTGCTGACTATTGGGTGTTTTGAGAGCTTTTAGATTGGAATGTTTCACTGGCATATGGCTGCAGTGTTCCTCACACAGGCTGGACAGGGTTAGATGTGGTGGTCTCCCAGTTAGCTGCTCAATGCTTTCCCTCCCCCTTCACCTCTCACTGGGGCTTCCTTAACCACATGAATAAACCTGAGGCCTCCTCTCCACCCTAGCATACCGTTCCTCTCCTCTCTGCTCCATTCTTCTGTGTGCCCAGCACTATTTGCAGCTGCTAGAATCTCTCCTGTGTCATCACTGCTGTGACCCCAGCCCCTACAATGGTGTCTGTCACATAGTAGGTGCTCACTAAGTAACTATTGAGTTGAATGAATTCCATCTAGGCCAGTTAAATAAGTTGACCTTTACATCCTTAGCCTAGGCCACTCAGCCACAGGTCTGTCCTTGGTCAGAGAGCACAGTCATAGTTTCCAAGCACACTAAGTTCAGAACTTGTGTTTTGTGCATTTGTTCAGAAAGTTTGAAACTCCGTTGTAGGCAAATTTCATAGACAAATAGCTACCCTAACTTCAACCAAGGTCACCTTCCTGTGAGTGACAGGCCAATGTGTATATGCTTCTTAAGTGTTCTGGTTCCATTTCTGTTGC